TGGCTTAAAATTGAGTATTTAATATTTTTTTATAAATTCTGTTTTCATGTATTTCAACTTTTGTTTATTTCTCAACACCTTCGAGCTTCTGCACATCTGTGGCATCTGTTCTCATTAGGAATGGCCAAGTCCGGGGATTCAGGGGCCTGTATTTCTGCTTCCAGGTTCTGGGATGCTCAAAGGTCTAGGATCCTGCCTTTTCTTGCCCTCCACCTCTGGGCCTGTCCCAAGACTCTCAGTCAGGTCAGAGCTGCCCCTAAGGCTGGAAGTGGCCCCCTGGCTCCTCCAGTCTGTGGGTTTGACTGGCTCCTTGAGATGGAGTTCCTCCTAAGTGTCTGCAGTTCCTGCCATGATGCCAAGCCCTAACCTGCTGGAGATGCCTTTTTCTTTCTTGTTTTGTTTCACTTTGATGCTGAACCGTGTAAAAATGTGAACAAAAACAATGGGGATGGAACACTTCAGTGCTGGGAAACTCACAAATTTGTTCTACCTTGATCTGATTCCATCATAACAGCTCATGGCGTGTTTTGGGGAAAGAGGAGATGGCCATCTTATCTCCAAATTGCAGGGGACTTGTCTGTGCACCATTTTTTTTTTAAAGGTTAGCATTTTATTTTATTATTTTTTAAAAGATTTATTTATTTATTTATACAAGCGCTGGGTACAGTCAGAAGCGCAGGAGGGTGAGAGAATTCACCAGAGCCAGAGAGGGGAACAGAACAGGCAGACTGACGAAATACACTGCTGAGGGGAGCAGCAGGTGTGGCAGGAGGAGGTCTGTCGTGCCATGTGGGACCCTCGCCAGTGGCCAGGAATCGAACTGGTGCTATAGATGCTGCGGCCAGCTTCGCAGCCCAGCACTCAACCACCAGGGGAGGCCCATTGTCTGTGCATCTTTTGAAGAAACTTCTGGGTGAGGACCAAGTTGAGAAGTTGAGGGGTAGGTATGGTAGGCCTCAGGGGAGGGCTCTGTGTCTCTTATTTTACTCAGAAATCATTTATTTATTTATTTATTTATTTATTTATTTATTTATTTATTTATTTATTTATTGAATGCGACCATCTGGCTGCTCTGAAAAGGGACCAGTCTTTTTACAGTGGCATGAGGTGGCACAGGGGTCTCCTGGAAAGAGAACTGGCGGAATGAATTTGCTGAAGCTGGAACATTTAGGAGTGAAGGATAAAAGCTGGGGATCTGAATTTCCAAAACCATACATGTTCAAAAATCAATGGTTTGTGAAGCACTGAAAAATTAAGAAATGGTGACACTGAGATGAAAGATTTCCAGTTCACAGGTAAAGAGGCAAAAATGGTTTCCAAACCACATAATTGGCAACACGCTTATAGTTAGATGTGCCCCGTAGGCCAGAACTTCCCAGGGGTGGGTAGGTCTGAGGAGCTGCTGTAGGTGGATGAGCCTCAGCGGTGGCACTTACATAACCCCAGCTGTTCGTTTAAATATTCTATTCTGTTCAGTAATTACAATGCCTTGCAGTGAGTTAGTGGTGACCCCAGGAAGATGTAGGAGCTTAAAACTTTCAAGCAATTAGGGTCTCCCTGATGGCGCAAGGGGTTAAATGACCATACTATAAAGCAATCTGCAGCCTTGGTGGCATGAGTTCGATCCTCAGCTGGCTAGGGAGCAACCCACATGGCACAGCAGACCTCTCCTGTCTCATCTGCTGCTCCCCTCAGCAATGTATTTCAGTCAGTCTGCCTGTTCTGTTCCCCACTCTGTCTCTGTCTCTGTCTCTGTCTCTCACCTCCCACATCTCTGGCCTGTACCCCAGCTCTTGTATGCATAAATAAATAAATCTTTAAAACAAAAAAAGAAAACTTCCAAGCAATTGGGTAGAGCAGGTGTGTCTTGCTGATGGGCCCTGGGGCAGGGGGACTGGCCCATGCCCCTGTTGAGTGGGATAGTCTATAGGAGCGCTGACCTCAGAGTCAGGTGGGCCCAGGAATGGGTCTGTGGCTGCAGAAAGACTAGCGAAAGGGGGAAGCAGCAGGCTAAGTAGGAGGCACATGGACTGGGGGCCAGTGTGCCCTGAGAACTAAGCATGAGAATTTGGATGATTCTTGAACCCTAACTTCATGAGAATGTCCTCCCTCGGGTACAACAGGCCACGCCAGTAAATTGGGAGACAGGCCTAGGAGGAAAATTCCAGGTAAAGGGCCTTCAATCCTTTATCACGGCCCAGCCTCCAGCAAAGAAGCATCCCCACACAAGCAGCTGAAGGGACAAATGTCACCAGGAGCACCTGGCAACCCACTCAAACAGGTTTGACAATAGATGGTGGACATAGAAGGCAGGCAGGAGAGGGGGACCGAGGAGGGAGAGGGAGAGAGGAGCAGGATAGTTTAAAGCCATTCTAGGCATGCGATTAGCAGACTCCTCAAACTCATTCATTCTTTGATAAGATGACGAATTAATCATTCACACTAGGGCACTCTGAGAGAGGAAGGTACTAACAGTCATTCCTCGGGACAACAGGCAAATGCTGGGGCTGGCATGTACGGGCACAGCCGTGTGGTCACTCTGTTCTTTAAGGATGTTGAAAGGGCATCTGAATAGCATCACTGATACTTTTGATTACTCAGGGGATAATCCCCCGAGATCCCCCCTTTTTGGAACTTTGTGGTTCAAGTCCTCCCTTTCTGGGAGCTTAGGCCCTTTCTCCTGGCAGCTTCTGGGTGCAGATCTAGCAGGTAAGTGCACAGTAACCATCTTGGAAAGGTCAGGGGTCACTTCATGAGCCCTCCATTGGAACTGGATTCCTTGAAAAGGCATCGAGGCAGGGATCTCCTGCCACTTGAGATCATCTGTTTTGGCAGCTGCAGAGAACGTGACTTTTGGGTAAGATCTGGGTTTGTTATTCTAGAAAAGCAGACTGTGAATTGAACCCTTCCTAGGAAGGCTCAAATCCCAGCCTTTTTCTGCAGAGTACATTGATGGAGATTTGGAGTCAGAGTTAACCTAATTCCAGAACTAGCTCAGCATATAAAGCATCAGGCACTTCCCTGAACCTTTCTTATCTACTTTCTGTGTCTGGGATCAGTGCCACCTGATAACACATATTAGCCAGATGCCTCACCCTGCAAGGACTGCACTTGATTCTGATGTCATAGCCTAGACCAGAGGGCTCAGTAGAGGGGAGCATTTTGGTTCTAAGACACCATCATTTAATTTAAAGCCAACAGTCCTTTAGGAAAGGAAAGAAAAATAGCCATTAAATGATTACTGCAATGGTAAAATATAAATTCATTTTAGAAACATTAGAATTTTTTTTAAGTTATCAAGACAAGGAAATCTAGTGTTAGCTTCTCATTTATTTCCTTCTATCCATATTCATCTTTTTATGTACACAAGGCCGGTGCTTTTTTTTTTTTTTGGTCTACAACCTGCAATAAAAATTGCATTTGACGTTATGAAATACACACACAGACACACGTGTGTACAGTGTTTTTCCATTAGTGGGTGTGCAAAGACCAATGTTTTACAATTTATTTTCTCTTTTCTGTTCAATGTCATTTCATCTTCAATAATTGCTGTTTCTGACTTACTATACCACTTTCATAGCCACAGGTTGCCCAGCATTTTCTCTAAATGGACTCTCTCTTAACCCCTTGACATACCTTTGGGTCAGAGAGGAAAGCCTGGGCCCAGAGCCCGACAACCCCAACCACACTGCCTCTGCCTGGGACATATCTTTGCAAGCTACAAGGACAGGTGGTTTGGTGTATTGACACCAAACAGCCTAGGAGCAGATGTGACCTCCCAGCTCTGAGATGCGGAGGCTCCACAGTCGCTCCATGGTTGCTTCTCCCGAGCAACATCCCCAATTAGATGTTGTCTCTGTTGATCACACGGGAGCAGGCTGGCATTTCATGGGACTATTTGGGGGAATTAAAGAAGACTGTGCCTGGACCCATGTGTGGCAGGCCCAGGCTGCCCCAGAATTGTCCACTGGATGGCAAGCGCCTGACCAAGGCCTGTGTTTGAGCCTAGAGGGAACTCTGTCCTGCCTACTTAAGGAAACACAATGAATACATTAGCCTCCAGTTCTCCTTGGCCACCTTGAGGGGAGGGGGGCAGGCCCACACCTCAGGCTGGGCAGGTGCTCTTGCCAAGGAAGAACTAGACAGAGCTGGTCCCTGGCAGGTATCATTCCCAGGTGCCAAGGCCCAACAAGGCACTGGGGCTTCTCATCGTGGCCTGAAGGAGCACTGCCTCCCGCAAAGCTCAGGAATGCCCAGAATGGTTCTTTCCTCACGGCCTACCAGCCCATGTGACTTGGGCCCAATGTCCCATGTATAGGGAAATGCCTGGGAAGAGGCCACGGCAAGGTGAGCCTATGGCTGCCTCTGGGCCCTGCCAGGCTGACTGGGACCAGTCACTCCTCCTGAGCAACCTCCTCAACTACAGTGCAGAGCCTGGCTGCTATCCACCCTCCAGAGTCCTTGACCTCTCCCCTCACTTCCTCCCAGGACACTGGTCCTCCCTCCCAGTCTGTCTGTGAGCAACTGCCTGAGGTCTAGCCCTCAGCATAGGGGACAGACTGAGTTCCTACTCACATTGGGGCAGGAGAGTAGGAACAGCTTGGAGAACTCTGGAAGCAAAGTATGTGCTAACAGAAACACAGGCTATGGGGGGCCTCAGTGTCTTCTAAGCCTGAGAAATACAGAGTGGAGATTTCCTTCCACACGGCTATCAGGCAATATACATGGACACTTGAAATTTCTAGAAAAGAGGTATGGTTTGCCTTTTAAGAAAGAAGTCCAGAAAAAACATGGACATTGGGTAAAGAGAATGTCTTTTGCCTTCTAAGGATCAGCTGATTAGGAGACCAAGTATATCCCTAGAATTCTTGCCTATGATTAGTGTGATTAAAATGGCCTGCGTTCCACTAACCACCAGAGCTAGGATTATGTAAACTTTGTGTGTTAGGTTTGAGGGAAGAAAACCAAGTCTGGAACATTTCAAATGATAACACGAACTTCAAACCATCAGCCAAGTACATTTGAATACATGTCTTTATTAGGAAAATTATAAGTGCATATACATCTTTTCATCGATATGACTTCAAAGTAGAAATTGTTTCTCAAAAGGAGTTGTTACTTATTTTTTTTTAAAAAAGCACACTGCATAGAGGAAGCTGCCTTCTCCTGGACCATTTTCACATTATCTGGGAGATGCAAATTAAACAATATAAAATACAGTATTTATCACATTTAACACTGAACCCATCACTGCTCAGACACCGAGAACCCAGCAAGGCGGCAGAACAAGTTCCCTATGTGGCTTTTTCCACTTGGCAATGACAGTGATCTGCTTGCGAGACTTGGAGGTTTCTAGGGAGCATTTCCTAAGAAGGGGCTTCCTCAAAAGGGGTCTGAGAAGATGCAGAAAGGGATCAGGACCCCTCTCATTCATAGTTCTCATTCAGCTACAAAAGGGCATGATGCACCTGGGAAAGGGGCTAAAATCGCAGTGGTGATGCGCCAGGTCGTGAGTGGGCAGAAAGTCACACCTGGGAAGGGTCAAATCGGATCCACTGACAAGGCTTAGAAGTTCTCTGGACTTCACACATGGGGGTGAGGGGATGCTGCAATCTTTTGGCATTCTGGCCCTCTGCTCTAAGCTAAACCTCCTTCCTCTGGAGAACAGGTAGTCAAGCAGGGGACCCTTCTTAGCCTCCTTGCTGAGCTCTCAGCACCTGGCAGGAGCAGGACAAAGAACAGTGCAAACAACAGACGCATAGACTCGGATTCCACCCCCCTTCCAGCTCGTCCCCCTTGGCTGAGTCCTGATGCAAAGGCTGGCAGTGGTGACCTACCTGGGGAACCCCAGGGGCCCAGGGGAATGGCAGGCAAAGGCTACTGATGCACTTGACTTGTATTCTGAAAGCAAAGGGGGAGGGATGGGAGAGCTTTTCCTTTGCAAATAGACTATTTAAATGTATATTGGCTTTCGTTGGGCTGGCTCCATTTAGGAGGGGATGGCCCGTAGAGGAATTGTTACACAAATAATTTTCCCAGCAGTGTCTACTCCCTGACAGAGGGAAAACAGAAAGGATTCTTGACTTAACTGTAGTCAAGATTTAGGGGCATGTTTATTTCCTCAGAGTAAGAGATTTAACCTTTCTGGGTTTACGGGATCTAGGGGGAAGATGCTTCCAATTTTCATGAGATTTTTAAACATTCTGGAGTTACCAGGAAAATGAGTGATGATACCACTGAAAAATTCAATATAAACATGTATTGAGTAAGGTTCTGAAACCCATTTTATATAGCCCTTGCAACTAATAAAAGAGCTGATTTAAAGATTTGAATCTTTTGTTCAGTTAATGAATTTTTGTTTCTCTGTTTTCTATCATAAGTATTCAGTTTATTAGAGTCTAATTGAAATGGCCAACATGTTACTGTAACCCCCAAAGATTATTATCTAAGACACCCACAATTCAAGATGATTTTACTACACTTTCTGCATGGTATTTACAGTGCCCTGTCAATTTATACGTTCCCTTGTTTTGTCCTTTTTTTTCATTTTCCTAGTTTTAAAAGTGTTCTTGGGGTCTAGAACTAAAGGGGGGGGGGAAATATCAGTGAGATCAAATAAAGACAAGTCATAATCAAAATACCCTCAGGTGCCTGCCTTTTTTAACAAATGAACATTTTAAACTGTTTAATGCTATGTAAATAGTGCCTGGGGCAAAAGGAAACACTCCCCCGGTTCTTAACCTGCATTCCTAAAGTCCCCTGGATTTCTAAGAGGACTGGCCTGGGGAAGTCCTGGGAGCTTCTAATGAATTGAGGCAGCAGTGAAGGTCCAGGGCCACTGTGCAAGGTGTAATGAAGGGAGACAGTCAAATGGTGAAAAGGGTGCTTTTAGATTTTAACGGGGAAGATAGCTTCTTGTCCAGAGTTAATTATTTTGTGGACTGGGCTTGCAAAACCAAAAATGTGGAAAATTCTTTTCTTGTTATTCCCAAAATAAGGTTGGATTTGACATAATGAAGACCAAACCACGGTGCTGAGCTATCAACTATAGAAGCTCTGAGGTTAACCCTGCTGCAAAGCAAACCCTGGGGCTCTGTTCACCCATCATGGCTGTGTGGTCAGTGGGGGAACCCAGGTCTCCACTCTCAGGTCACAGCCTGGTCAAGCACCCCCTGGGGTCTCCTCACTCTCAGCCTTTGCATACAAGGAACTGACAGCGCATGCACAGAGGACAGTGATTCTGAAGAAGAACACGGATGGACACGGACAGTATTCCAAACAAGACACAGCTGTGCAGTGTTTTCAGGACCCGGGAACACGAGACATTGTGATTTGCTGCTTGGTGCCAAGTTTAAATGAAAGCTTTGGTCTTGAGAGAGTCTTTTTCCGGGATCATGGAGACAGTCTTGGATACACATGATGATGGATGAGAGACAGAATGATGAGGAGAACGTGATGGGATGTAGAGGAGAGCGTGGGATGAGGGGTGCATCTTGCCCTCCCCTGGCCTCACACTGCCCCCCCTCCAGCTCAGGGAAGCCCCCAGGGCACCAGGGTTTGCCCTTGTTGACCGGTCCTGACACCTGCTGGTGGCTCTCTGTCCTAGGACTTGGTAAAGTGGACAAGGCTCCCTCATTCAGGAGTCCCAGCCTGAGCAGCTAGAGAAACAGGATACTCTGGATGCCCGAGTCAGACCAGGGGCTCCATGGGAAAGGTATTATAACAGAACAAGTAAAAGAACGGTCTTAGCTTAAGTTCCTATCTGTCACCAGTGACATTGGATAATCAAGCTAAATGCAAAATAAACACCATAATATTTTGCTACATAATTAAATGGTGAAAGGAAGGCAAACTGTGCAAAACAAAGCCCGTGGAAACGCGAGGGGCCACCTGGGGGCAGTGGGGGGCAGGCCCTTCCTAACACTGCTTTCAGACCCAGGCGCTACTGTAAGGGTTCCTCAGGTGTCTGACCCAACCTGCGCCTCTCACATCTTGAACCTCCTGTTAACAAGAACAGAGGGAGACACCATTAAGGCGAGTTCCAACAGCGGCCGGTCACACGCCTGAGATACTGAGCCCCGCTTCAGTGGGGCCCCCCCCACTCCTGACTTCACGGTTGTTGCGGCACGTGACCCGTCTCTCATCTCCCTTCCAGAGCCCTGATTAGGGGAGGGGAGAGAGCAGCCATGGCTGAAGCGAGGGCTGGATGGAGCCAGAAGCACAGAAGACAGAAGCAAGCATGGGCGTGGCACACGAACGAGGGACACAGACGCCTGGCACGCTGGTCAGGACATGACAGGACAGGGTGCCCGGCCTTAGCCCTGCACAGGTGCTGGGCTGGTGACTCCTGGGCAGATGCAGCCCAGTCTCACACCGAGTCCCTCCCACCGACCACCTCCACCAACCACCCAAACTCATCCACCCCTAGGACCTGGGGAGGCCCTGGGGCTGGAGGCATGGGCAGAGGGCAGCACACCTTGCACCGCTCACCTGCCGGTACAGGTACGGGCACTGCCTACTTTCAACCCACAGTGGAATGGAGCTCCATCTCTTTGACTCTTCCGATGGGACCCAGTCTTCAGTGACCCGTCTTCAGCAGGGCTGAGGCTTCCCTGCTTACCAGACACAGCGAGGTCCCAGGGCCAGGGGTCAGAGGACAGGGTACAAGCTTGTCTGTGGCTCTCAACACTGGCCAACTGTCTCAATGCCCAACGCCCAGGTGAGAGGGAGGCACTGTCACCCCGACACCGCAGAAGCAGTCTGCTACCTCGGGGCAGCAAAACTTCACCCACTATTACTAGAGGACACACAGTTCTCCCTGGTGCCCAGCACGGACCTGCCACCGCTGCAGGCGCAGAGGCCTGCTGCTCTGCGGTATGAAGATAGTGTGGGCCACAGGTCTGAGCCTGCCTAAAAGCTTTGCTTTTAGGACTCCCCTGTCAAGGTCCCGCAAACTGGAACTGTGCTGGCTCCCACAGAAAGGGCGGGTGCCTCCGGCAGTTCAACAAACATCCAGATGCCTTCAAAGGTGGGGAGGGCAGGATGAGGTGGGCACCCACACACCCCAGGAGTTGCTATCTTGGGGGCTGGCAAGAGTTAGCCAGATAAAAGGGATGGCAGTGGGGAAACAAAAGGTCTTTGACTGCAGAGCCCGAAGGGACACCTCCTCAGTGGGGAACAGCAATGAATGGGGTGACAAAGGAGGGAGAGGCAATACTCTGACCCAGGTGAGTCTGACAAGCGGGGGCTTTGGGTTTTCTTTTCCTGGAAATCAATCTGCTCCGTGTCCTCCAACCACTTCATCTTTCTGCATCCATGCACCGAAATTATAACCGGGTCCAGGGGGCAGGGTGAATGTGTGTTTATGTGTGCAGGGAGGGTGATGGGAAGCATCCAGATATTCAAAGTGTCCTTTTTCAAAGCACTACTGAAATCAGGACCTTGCTCTCTCACATGATCCCCCTCCTTCCGCTCCGAATTACAGACTTGGCAAGAAATCTCAGGCATAAATCTGACAGGGAGGGGTTGAGGAAGAACATAAACTACTTTCACTTTAAGCAGACATTTCCCATGTGTGAGGCCTGAGGCAGCTGTATCCCAGAACCTAATGGCACAAGATCACGGAGACTCCCAGCAGGAGTGGGGAAGGGGTGGGGAAGGAGTCCCCAAAGCTGCAGGTCCTCCACGCAGTTGCTCCAGCTGGAGGACCTGTTTAAAACAACCTACAAAGTGAGCTGCCTGGAGAGAAGGCTCCCTGAGAAGCATTTCCACATCCACTCTCTAGGAATGCAGAACCCCCACCCACTCTCCCCATATGGTCTGCAGAAATCCACCCATCTTGGAAGTAAAGCCGCTTCACAGCCCCAGGCTCAAGGAGGGAGGCTGGTGAAGTCCCTCCCCCAGGCGGAGTGGTGGAGGGCCAGGTCACAGGCGCTCAGGAAAGGGAGTCACCTGCCAATGCCCTGGCTCCAGCCAACTCTGCCCATGAAGTCCATGATGGAGGCACTGGTGGCCAGGAAGGAGAGCCTCAAGACACAAAGTCCTTGCTGGCCCAGGTGCCTCTGCGGGGCTAGCCGGCAGCTCTGTGCACTGGCCAGGCCACGCTCCGGTCTCCTCAGACAGGAATGCAGATTGTGAGTGTGTGGAGCTGTGTGAGCTCCGGATTCATCATGGGCATCTAACAATGGAGGGCAGGAAGGGAGCCTGAGGCTGAGGCTGACGCTGGAGACTCTTGGGACCAATCCAGAGCACAAAGTCTCTGAGTCACAGACCCCAATCCCAGTCTCTGCACAACTACTTTCTTCATAACTTAGCAGACCAAGGAGGGCCTTAACAAGCACATAAATACAGAAGCCAGTGTGGCCACAGGGGCAGCCACATGCCACTCCCCTATGGAAGTCTGAGTGTCCCCCATAACGGGCAGGGGGTCTGCCCTGAAGAAGGGTTAGAGCAAATTTACAAAGCGCCGGCAGACAAGAGCAGAGTGCACTGCAGTCCATCTGGAGGTGGCAGATAACTAGTTTTTCCTTTTTTGAGCAGCCTTTCTCTTCTTCTGTCGCTTCTTTTTTGCTATCTTTTCTTTTTTCCCCACTTTTTCTTCTCTGCGCCCCCTTAGATAAAATTAGTAGAACCATTAATGATGTTGAAATAAGCAAGCGTCTGTGTCAGTCTGCACATATTTAACCCTGGTCCATGTATCCATGGAACTGTCTTCAGTTTCGGCCTGGACACCCTTTGGGCAAAGCACTGTGCATCAGTACTTCTAAAATAAATTAGACGTTTTCCTGGATGCCAGAAAATGCTAGACAGGCTTCTACATCTGTGAACTGGTTACAGCTATTGTCAATTTGCCAACTTGACCCTTGTCCCTGCTGCTGCCTGAGGCTTCCTAAGGGCCAAGGAATTCACAGATAAAAGGGTATGAAGGCATCCAGGGGCCAGCTGGACTCATCTCTACCTGACCCCAGTCTGCGCTCCTTGAGTTTCCTCCATCTCCATGCAGAGCTGAACACTACTTGATTTAAAAAAAAAAAACAACTCTGCATTTCAAATTGAATATGCTTTGGAGGTTGGAGACCTGAGGTTCAGATGGCCATCCAGGAGGGGAGACAGGAGGGAGCTTGACCCCACCTTCGCCTTTCTGGATGCCTGTGGACACCCCCTGGGAATGACTGGGATTGTTCTGGAGAGCAAGGGAAAGGGTTGGTTAGCAGAATTTTATTAGAGCAACTGGCTCATGACTGTCACATTAAAATGATTCAAGCTGAATGGTATTTAATGATTTATGGGGTAAAGCCACCTGTTCCTAAAGAAAGCTGGATATTAACCATGGCCTGGAATTATGGGATTTTTACATGGGAAAATGTGAAAGCTGGTATTATGAGGGTTGAGTCTCTGGAGATTATATATGGGGATGTTAGGAGAACCAAGGAGGAGGAGGAAGGGGAAGAGGAATTAGTGAGTCAAATATTCTTCAGAAAATTAGCACCACTGCTTCCATTAGGTAAAAAAGAAAAAAGAAAAGAAAAAAATAAGAAAAAAAAAAAAAAACAAACAAAAAAAAAAAAAACAAGATGCAAAAACTTAAGTCACAGATCCAATCTGCTCCTGAGTGAGACCCTGAGCTGTGGCTCACACGTGAACTCGGCAGCAGGGATTTAAGGCAACTGATCAGCAGGCCCGCTTAGCTCATCTTCATAGACTCCAGGGAGGATGTGAGCTGCACGTCTAACCAGCATAGCTTTTATTTCAGGTAAATAAATTCCCACATACAGTAGGAGGTTTATACCATGAAACATTTAGCATTTTATTGCTAGTGCTTATAATGTCACATTTGATACAATTTTAGTACAAGTGAAAAAATACACTGTGGCTAACATTAAAAAGCTGCAATCACATTGATATGTCATAGATATCTCTTTACAAATTGCCAGTAGTTTCAGATAATAGAGAATTGTAACCTACTGACATTCATATGGCTCCACTTCAAATATATGAATTGTTTGACTATAAATATATTCTGAAATACATTGTTTTTCTAAAGAAACGTTAAAAAAATGTGCACAAAATATATATAAAAATGCCTTGCAAAAAGTTACAAATACCACCAGGCCCATCTGTGGATCACATTGATGCATGGAAATTTTATCTTGCCAGCATTTCTGATTAGAACCTGAAACGCTGTTGCGGCTTCAGGAGGAGGGTGAGTGGCAAGAGGCTTGTTTATTCTTTTATCTTTTCACTTCAGATTTCAGAAACCTCAGGGTTTACGCAGCCTCCGCGGCATACGTAGACTTCAGAGGCAATCACAGAAATCAAACTCCTGAAAGCAAACTCTTTCAGGATGGAAAGTTGAAATCAGATTGAAAATTGCATCTGATTCTCAAAGACTTGTCTTTTGTGGGAAGGTGGAGACACGACCTCACACCCCCCAGGAGAGAGGGGGCCACATTCTGGAGGAGGCCAGATAAGCATCTCACAGAGGGCCTGAGCAGGAGGGGGGAGCAGAGGGAGGAGGGGGCTGCAGGGCAGTCCCTAGCAGCCACCCCGCTCCCAGGCAGATGCGGTGCGTACAGAGATGAGGAGCAGAAGCGAGAGGAACGCATGCTCTTGGAGGCAGGGCAGGGCAGGGCAATGACCAGGAGAGGGTCTCTGAGCACAGTCCCCGGTTACAGTGGCTTCTTCAAGGAGGCTACATGTCCAATCAGAGCTTGAAAGAGGAGGTGAAGGGGTGGCTGCTGCCCGGCATGGTCAGTACCTGCGATCATTCCGGGTCCGAGAAGATGCCCCTGCCAGCGCCACCCACCATCTTCCTCCAAGCACCAAGGTGTGGAGGAAGGACACTTTTTTGAGCTCCGTGCTTGGCCATCACCTGACTGTGCCCAGACTCCCCGGGGGAAGAGAGAAGAAGCTCCAAAACAAACCAAATACACATCTTGAAATACTCATTGATTTAAAAAGGAAAATGAAAGTGGTGATGATGATGATGATCATGAGGGAACTGACTGGTGGAAGGTGCTAGTGGGATAATACAATGTCTTAGAAAAACCCCAGTTATAAAACAGCCAATATGCAAGGGTCCAGGGCATGGATGAATACAAGCTGCAATATCGTACCATATGCTATAAATGCAGTTGTCTACATGCTGGGCAAACCTCACGCCCATTCCCAGGCCAGTGCGCTACCCACAGACACACGCAGTCACCCATCAGGCCTTCCTCCCCGCACCTTTGCCCTTCCATCTCTCATACGGTTTTAGCTTTCCTCAAGTGGATCTAGTGGAAAGTCCTTTTTGGCTGCTGTGCTTACTTGTTTAAAGCTTTCTCCACGTATTCCTGAATCCACTTCAATTTCGGGTCAATGCACACTTGTCTGTTGTTGTTCTTCAGTCTTGCCCTGTCAAGAGAGGAGACCACAGTGTGCAGCTGCACAGGAGGCACCGCTCGGGTCTATGAGCCGCTCAGCCCCCCTCGCTGGCACCAGCTGCCCTTCCAGTCAGGTTCAGGTTTAGGAGGAACCCAGGTGTGCTGGGAACACAAAGCCAGGCCCTGGCAAGTCCCACTGCAGAGATCCTGGACAGTGAAAGCATCTCCGTGGGGAGTCGTCCCACAGGGGACAACTGAGTTGGCCTTTGAAAGGTAAGGCGGAGCTGGGCAGGTGAAGTAAGGGGGGGGGGCAAGAGAAAACACACTAAAGGGAAAGAAAACACAGGGGACTAGGAGAAGGTGGGGGGAGGGGGGGAAGTGAGTGGGGAAGCAGGGCTCAAGAAGCAGCTGTGAGGCGCAATGGGGTGAGGCTTTATAGGTAGGCCCTTGTAAGATTTTAAACTGCGGAGACACAGATTTTTATTTCCAAGCATCATCTTGATGGTGCATGGAGGACAGACTAAGCCTAGAGACAGGAGCCCTGCAAAGAGGCACTGCAGTAGCTGGGGGCGGGGGTGAGAGGCAGTGAAGGGAAGATGGTTTAGGTGCCAGGAGAGATAATGTAGGTAACTTTCCAGAAACTCCTTTCTGGAGCTGTTTACAAGCCCACTGAAGGCTCCATGGTCTCATTTGTTTCTTAGAAGTTATGCTGTACCTCCTCCTACTTCTTTCCTCCCTTACACTCTCCCGACTTGGAAACTCCTAGAGGAGGACCTGGACTTCTCTCGCTGGCTCCCTCCCTCTCCACCAGGAATCCTGGCATCAGGAATCTCAAGCAACCTGAGGACTCCCTGTCCAGACACTCAGGTCTATGAGGAGAAACAAGTTCCTGAACAGAGGCTAAGCCGGGGACAGCCACACAAGTCTCCATGCTGTGTGGTGTCGTGACTGGTATGCGAGGTGGAGGGGAGTGGCCAGGAGCAAGAAGGACTGGGGGCCAAATCTGGGTGCCACTGCTTATTGATTCTCTCTGCCCAGGTAATATTTGGCATCTTCAGCTTTAAGGTACATTCCTGGGTGAGGGAAACTAGCGTAATCTGCACTGGAAAGCAGGCCCTGCTAGCTAAATACTGTATCTGATAAAATAAGCCTCAAGGGAGAAATAGTGTTTTATTATAATCAAATAAGGAAAAAAAAATTTCCTCTTACAGCTACCTAAAATATGGTAAGCGGCAAGCACATTCAAGGCAGCAAAGGCTACCCAAAAAGAGACACAAAACTCAAATCTAAGAACAGCTTAGCTTTTATGCCAACTTCTGTGCTCCATCCTATTTTCCACTTTCAGAAGGTGAGCTCTCCCCATGAGGCTCAGAGCCTCCCCCCTCTGGCATCCAGACAAGGACCACGCCCAGGAGTGCAAGCTTCCTGGGGAGCAAGGGCACCAAACAAGGAGCAATCCGCATGCTTCCCTTGTCCTTCCTTCCCTGCACCTCCAGCAAGGCAGCCCTGTGTGTGCAAGGGGTTAAGCACAGCACTGTGAAGCTATCTGCAGCCTCTGCAACATGAGTTTGATGCCTGGCCAGCCAGGGAGTTACCCACATGGCTCCTGTCTCACCCGCTGCTCCCCTCAGCAGTGTATTTCAGTCAGTCTGCCTGTTCTGTGCCCCACTCTGTCTCTGTGAATCTGCTCACCCCTCACCCCGCACCTCTGGCCTGTACCCCAGTTCTTGGATACATAAATAAATCTTTAAAAACAAAAAGGCAGCCCTGTGTATCTTGCATGTGCAATTTTGGTGTGTCTCCCTTCCCATACAAATGAAATCAAATGTTAGCAGCTGCCATTAATACCAGCAAAAACAGAAACTTGTACTATGTTTGAGAAAATGAGTTTAGTGAGCTGAGAATTTTGAAATTAAAGATGACTAAAAATGGTTTCAGCTGATTTTGGGTTTCATGAATTGGTGTTACGTGATAAAGGATTAATTCAAAGTACCAAACCCCTGAAATTGGTTAGCCCGACAGAACTGCTGCCAGCAAGGCTAATTTACTGGACTTCAGCAGAAACTTTGAGGAAGGCCATGGGTCTCCAGAGGGGAGGTCTCTGAGCTGCCATTTCCTGCCCTGAGGGAAGGAAGCTTGGAAAGAAGAGACTGAGGACCACTGAGCTCAGCAGGGTACCCAGAGTGGAGTGCTTTCTGGTGTACACACAAAGTCAAATGCTAAAACAGCTGCCTCTAGTTACCCCCAGGTCAGGATGGACAATGGGAACATGCCATTACTCTAGCTTTACCAAGTCTGTGAGGTAAGTGTCACTATGCCCACCAGATGTGACATCCCTGGAAGGTGATGCTGAGACTTACACGATTTGCAGGGCACAATTGGGAGTGTTGAGGATTTTGAGATGTTTGACGTTGGATCTGGCAACGTGGCTCTCAAAGAATCGGCAGGGACATCTGTAGCTCAGGCTCACCGGTTTCCCTAGAAGTAATGAGAACAAGACAGCTTATTATCCTACCAGGTCTTGGGATATGCATGTTCTGGGATATGCATGTTCTGGCCCAGAGATAACAAGGTGGAATGATGGAAGGAGCAAGAGCGATGGCATGAGTGGGGTGGTCACCCTGGGGGGGGGGACCTTCTCTTTGAGCAGCACAGCAAGCTTTGGGTGGGCTCAGGCTCAGCGGCTATAGGGACAGAAGACAAAGGATCTGCAGGAGGGTGGGGAACTTGAAAGGAGCAGATCCCTGCTCAGGTATCTCAAGATAAAAGATAACCTTTCAGTCCAAGGTACTGAGGTTTCCAGTTCTTTGCAAAATAAACTCCTCCAGAAGCAATTGAGAAGGCCCTCAGGAAAGGGGGTGTGTGGGGGAGGGGAGGCTCCAGGCCCTCTGTTCTCCCTTTCCTGGCATAAGCCTCAGCTCAGGAGCCTCTGTATCTACCTAGGGCAGGCTACCCTCCCCCACCTACAGCCACTTCTCTGCACATTCACCTTAAACCCAGACAACCACAAAGGAATCCTCAGAGGGCAGGCCGAGAGCTCAGCTTTTCCCCAGCATTAAGGTGTGGAGATTAGTGGGACTGGAGTTAAATATGGCTTTCATTGTACAGGGATGCTACAGCCCCTTGGGTTGTATTACATCTTTGTTTGCCAATTCACCAATTTGCAAAATGCCATAATTGACACTCATTAGTGCAAATTAGCAAAGGGCTCCTGCAGAATCCACCGCTCACCCTTTAAGTCTAGAATTGCAAGCCCTGGGGGGCTGGGATTGTGTGTGTGTGTGTGTGTGTTTCTGCGGATTTTATCCAAGTCCTACTTAATACCCCAAATTATTTGAATTTGTGGACCCTTTCATCAGGGATTAAATATATGTCTGAGAATATTTAGTCCAGAGATTTGAAAAAAAAAAAATAGTTTGCTATTTACAGAGCTCCCAGAGGCCGCCTGGTGGCTCAAAGTTTCTGTATTTTTGACAAAAGCTAGAGAAGCCAGTGAAAAGGACTCTTTTGTTTTTTTTTTTCCCTAAAGGCTGCATGTGCCTGCAGGATGGCATAGTAGGGACAGAGCAGCCTAGTTCATTACCCTGTATGGAGGAAAGCAGAGCCCTCTCCCCTCAACTCCAGCCCCTGAAAACCAGAAAGTAGAAAGCCTAGTTTGGAGGTGCTCAATGACTCAGGCACTGGAGATGCACAGGGGAGCAGAAGTCCCCTCTACACCTGACCCAGCTAACTCCAGAAAGTCCCTGAGGAGTTCCTGCGGGGAATTCTGCTCTCCCCTGTAGCCAGATCACCTGGGCTAGCTGGGCTGGGGGTCTGCAGCCAGGGTAATGGAGAAGACAGTCTCCTTTCAGTGCGAGTTCCCTGGAATTCTCCCAAGCTGAGCTGGACTGGAGTACTTGGGTCCAAAGTGAGGCAGGAGGGGCCCCAGCCCCAGGGCAACAGTGAGCTGGAAGGGACAGAGTGTGACATGCTGCAGGAGCAGCAGTGGGGGCTGCTGTGCTCCTGTGCCTGAGAAGCTGTTCTGGCTCCACTAACCCAGCAGCAGAGATCAGGCCAGAAATCAGAGCCCATTCTGAGCTCAAAACACTGGCTTTCTCTTTTTCTTCTCTCCCCTCTGTACCCCTGGGATTATCCATTTCCTTCAAAGGCAATTCTTATTCCTGCTCCCAGGACCCAGTTGCCTGCCTATCAAATGGCGATTTCAACAGGTTTTTCAAAGTGACAGAATCCTAAACGCTCTTACGAAGAGAACGCTATGCTGTGTCCACCTGGTGTCTTTTTCTCTATTTTGGTCGCTATTACCAAATGTTTATATGTGACTCTGTATAAGGGCAAGAAGTCTGACTGGCCCAGATGTTACACATGTTATGTGGGGTTGGGACCTGTTGAACTCAGCTCTGCTCTGGGGCAGTTCCCAGAGAACTTTCCATGGAACACAGAGCAGGGAGGGTCCCTCTGACCAGGTCTGGGAATGGGCCCCACTCTGGGGTTAACTCCTAGAAGCCCAGAGCACCAGGATTGCAACTGTTTGGCTGAGGTCAACCAGCAGAGAGACAGCGAGAGCTGGAGCCTGAACCTGGGGCGGGGGTGGGGGGGGGTTCTCCCCAGTACAGCTTTGGGACTCAGAATGGAGCCAGAAGGCACATAGGCTCCCAGAGATCAAAAAGGGCTTTGTCGGCTAGGCTTGTAAGGAGAACCAGACCAGTCTGGAGCCCAACACCCTCACCAAGGCACTTGGTTGCCAGAAGGCAACTCCAAGGGCAAGTAACCTGCCCAGGGTCTGGAGAGTCTGTGGATGAGGACCCGCTCCTTCCATGCTGCTCCAGGCCAGTTATGTCCAGGACTCAAGCACCTGAGTCTCTGCATTCCAGCCCTTTCTATAGGTCCCCAGAGGAAGGACAACTAAGGGCAGCACCATTTCCCCAAGAAGTGCAAAAAGTCATCCCCACTCTCACCAAATGATTGCTCAATTGTTACTACCCAAGCCAGAGTGTCCCTCAGGACCTGTAGAATCAGCGTGAATACAGAACCTAGAATACTCTATCAAGAGAAAAATTCCTAATCATATTTATACGGGCAGCTCTGCAGCTCTGACCAGCAATTTGCTACATTTTAAAGAACACTTTCCAGGGGGTCAGCTAGGAACCCAGGTTAGCCCAGGCCAGCCTGCCTGCGACAGCCTCAGGTATGCTCACTCCATCCAGGCTAGTATCTCCCAAGGCAGAGCAGGAGGTAGCAGCAGGTCTGTGGCTCAACCCAGCCCCAAACTCCAGGTGCTGGAACTGCAGCGGCCAGGGCTGCAGCAAGAGCACAGTGTTCTGCAGCCCTGAGCAGTTTGTTGCAAATCTTAGTTTAATTTAGTTTTGTTCTTAGACAACAGTTTATTTTGGTTTGTAGTAGTGGTGTCCTATGACAGGACATCGAGATTTCTCTTAAGCTTCAAAAGGGGAAAAAAAAGAAAAGATTTCCCAGTGAAACTGGACACCACCATACCCAGTGGCCTACAGCCTTGGTGACTGAACTTTGCTCACGTGGAGATAGAGCGCTCCCTTGGCCACTGGCTTGGCCGGTGACAAAGGAGCCTCTTTGCAAGTGTTTTCGGGCTAAGCGGGGGCAGGAGCGACTCAGAGAGCACCGGGGCCTCTCTTAGGCAACCCGGGAAAGAGGCAGCGATGCAATGACTGGATGTGCGCCCGGGTTCGCCCCGCGTCGCTGCGCTCTGCGGAGCTGTGCAGAAGCGCGGCCGGGCGGGAGGCGCAAACCCCACAGCTGCTGGGTATGGCTTGCCGGCAGAGTCCCGCTAGCGTGGGGGCAGAGAGGACCAGCTTGGTGTGGAGGGGGCGGCGTGCATCTGCACCCGACCACAGCGCCCCGACACGCGCGTCGCGTTGCGAGAGGGACTTTACCAAGAGCACATTGCCACACGAACCACCCATCGCTCCTCCAGCACCATGCATCGCGGTGCCCCCCGGTCTCTGGACACCGAGCGGGCGCGAGAAGGCACCAGTTGCCAGGTAGGCGGGTCAGGGCACCTGGCCCGCGGCTCCAAACTCGGTTCCACACTCCGGTGCCTTCCAGCTCCGAGCGCACCCTCAGCTCGCTCCCGCCCAGTTAGCCCTCCCGCCTCAGCTCCAGCGTGCGCTCAGGTCCGGCGATCGCTCCGGGGTCCTGGAGTGCAGCGCGGCGCGGAGGTTTGAGCGAGTGGCGCTAGGCGTGGAGCTTCAAGCCCGCACCCCGCGGGACAGCACCTGAGTGCAAGGAGCCTGAAGCTCCAAACCAAAGCAAAGTCACATAACTGGATGCGCGCGGAGCGGCGAGGGCGCGGGCGAGCAGCAGCGGTTCCGCAGAGCGCACGAAGCCGGGCTCCTGCCCACACCTCGGCGCCCAGGGCACTCACCGTCGCTGAGGCAGAGCGCGGCCAGCACGAGGGCCAGCACTGCGACGACCTTGGCATCCATGGCACCGGCGGGCGGCGGCGAGGGGACGGAGGTCAGCGGCGGAGACCACACTGCGGCGGAGAGTGAAAGTGCGGCGGCGGGAGGCGCGCGCCGGGCGCTTTAGAGGCGAGAGCGGGGAGGGGCGGGGCTGGGCTCGGGGCCAGGGGCGGGCCTGGAGCCGAATCCCCGCGGCGGCCGGGGGCTCTGGCGCGCGTCCCTCCCGCCCCGCGCCCCCCCGCGCGCGCCCCCGCGCGCGCCCCCCCGCGCGCCCCTCCTCCGCGCCCCTCCTCCGCGCCCTGGGTGCTCCCGGGACAGCGGCGCGTTCCAGCCTTTGACCTTCCCAGGCTGAGCTGTGCCCGGCCCGGTGGGTCCGACCTGCAGCGAGGAAACCAACCGCCAGCGAGCCAGGCTGGAGGACCGGGTGTTCGTTTTACGCAGATGGAGAGATTTAGCCCCTTAGGCCGGAACTAAATGAAAACTCAGGAAAAACAAACTAGTTGATCCTAGGGGTTAGGGCCGCTGTACCCGCAGCGTCCCGAAGTAGCTAGAGGCGTCCTGTTTTCTGAGCAGGAGACCTGGAGCTGGGGTTCAGACTCTGGGCAGAGCCCGAAAGCTTGGCCTAGGAGCGGGACACCGGTCTTTGCAAGTCAGCGCGACTCGGATTCCAAGCCAACGCCATTCTTTGTCAGCAGAACCTGAGCCTCAGTGTCCTCACCCGTAAAATCGGGTCTCTAAAATAGGATGCTTTGCCGAGAGAAGAAAACAAAGCGTTAGCCCCGAAGGCTCTGAGTAAACGTGTATTTACTTAGCCTTTTGGACCTCTGTTCTCTCAGCTGTGAAACAGGCAAATCTCAGCTCCCACCTCACTCAGAGGAACTGGGATTGTCTGAGACTCCGCTCCCCACCGCCGCGAAGTGCTCAGCATGGAGACTGACACACAATACTCAGTACACGGAAGTCTGAAATAATTCGTTAAACTGCAGTAATTTCGCCCTCTGCCCAATGCATTTGACACCAAAAAGGATTAAAAAAAAAAAAAAGTTCGCTTCTTCGCGTCTTCTCCTGCTCCATCCCCCATTCTCCCAGGATGGTGGGTGCACCTGAGCCTTTCTGGTCCAGAGAACTGCATCCACACAGTCCTCTCTCGCTCTCCAGTCCTCCTGGCAAGACCCCGCACCCCAGCCTGACACCCCGACGCAGCCTGAGCAGAGCGAGAGGCCAGGGAGGCGCAGGTGTGAGAGAAGCGCCCTTTGAGGCCTCTCTGGTCTGATCGCTGCAGCCAGCACCCCCTCCCCGCGCTTTCCTGCCAGACAATGGAGTGAATTCCGAACCCACATCTATCCTGGGTGTGCGCGGTGGGCCAGGTCTCTATCCCTGGAGAGGCCCAGAGCCCTGGTCATCAGGCAATGAGATGACCCTCTGGGCTTGGGCCCGGCACCTCCAGCAGGGAACTATAGAAATGGGCAAGTAGCAGGAAACCTCCAGAGCTCCCAGACTCCAGAAGTGGGGATGAGTCTTTGTCTTGTCTCCCCAAGTCCCCCCACCCCCACCTCCGCCCGACTTTCGCGCGCACTTAGGTGCACTCTGAACCTGCGCTCCATCCATTCATTTATTCTCCCGGGTCAAACCCATTTCTGCGCAACTGAAACCCCACTGACTTGGTCCCTGCCCTTAAGGAACTATCAGTCCAGGAGGAAAAAACTATACTCAGGCATCCTCCGGCGCCACCTCTTCTCCGAAGCTGGGCTAATCTGTTGAGTCCTGGAGCGCAGCCGGCGAGATAAAGCGGGCGGCTGTGCTCGGGCGCCCTCTAGTGATCAAGTATCCCACCCCCAATGTCTCCCTTGTCCTGCCACTCGAGTAGGGTGGATCACAACTTGGGCGCATCCCAAATCCTTGGAAAGCCAGGTACACTTACCTAACTCCATCATAAATTGGGGGAATTAAGAAGCAGGGTGCACCATGGAGTTTGGCGCCCCGCAGGAGCCACGCGTTTTTTCACACTCAAGTCTGGTTAAAACAAATACCCAAGCCTCAAACTTGCTTTCTTTTTGTCTGGTGCTGCACCTTCAGCCAGAGGGAGCCACTGGGAGGGTCGGGGAACCAGGGTCTCCAGCCTGGCCAAGCAGCACAGTAGTCCCAGGACAGACTGTGGGACCCATCAACATCCGCCGCTTTCTCTGTTAAAATCCTTGTTGAACATTTACTATGTGCCAGACAAGGGCTAGTGTTTGAAATACTATAGTAAAGAGAGCATCCCTCCCCAAAACAAACAATCAAATCTGTCCTCTAGGAGTTAACATCCTGGAGAAGAGGGTGCCGGGTTAGAAAGGAAAAGGCGCTGAATACAAGTAATTAAGTACATAATCTATGGAAGTTACTAGGTGCTATGAAGAATTGGAGTAGAGGGAAGGGAGTTAGGATTTTAAAGTCAAGGATCTGCATTTTAGGTAAATTCTACACAAGTCTCAGTTTTTGGTAAGCTACTTAAATTTAAAACTCCGTACAGAGCAATAATCTGGGTCCAGGGGTCACCAGACTGCTTTTTAACTTGATTCTATGCTCAGACACTGGTGCCCCAAAATTGAGGCCAACAGAACCCATCACCTGTTCTTCTCTGTCTTTTGCTATGCCGCCCTCTGCTTAAAAGGTTCTGCTTTTTTGCCTGCCAGAAATCTCCTTTTCCATCAAGGGGTAAAGCAATGCCCCCTACCCTGTGAGATCTCCCCTCTTTCGTACTCAGTGTTCTTCAGGGACACAGAGTTCAAGGTGGGAGGGAGGCAAGGATCTGGCTGTTGAGTTAAAAATGCAGGTGCATCTTTATGGCCCAAGTGTGTTATTGTCTCTAGACCCCTGGTGACCAGCCAGGTTGTTCGGTGGAGTACCTTTGGGGTTCAATGGATGGCCCTTCCCGGAGGGACCTTAGTACAAGTTTGAAGCTTTGCATCAGATTGTAATTTTCTAGTGTGTAAGATAATGTAGCGTTAGGTGGTACTCTAAAAACATTACCTTAAGGTATCTAAATTCATATATTTAATTTAAAAGTGATAAAAAAAGTATTACTAGCATACAAAAATAGATATTTCAGACATTGCTCAAGATGAATTTTATTTTTAAATATATGATTGAAGTTTGAACAGCAAGTGAGTGAAACTGACATCATATGCAATAGTATAGGTGATTGGGAGACAGCAAAACTGGAGAGAATGATACAAAAGGATTTAGTTTGAAAATGTTGTAAAATATTTTGGGGTTGCTTGATACGTCCCCCTTTTAACAGACCGTTTGGCTGCAAAGTAGTAAAACAAAATCATCAAGGGACATATGAGGTATGAGGGAGGCATGTTCCTCACTCTTGTCATCCAGGTGAAGCCAGAGAATACTCACCCAGTTCTCCTATCCATCCTGGGAAAAGATGGGAGAGCATTCCCCAGCCCAGACTTCCACAGCCCTCCCATCTCAATCACAAGCCCTGCCTCTCCCAGCCTCCAGTGTGGGCCTAGGGGTCATGCTGTCAGCACCCCCCCTCAGCTTACACTCTGGTGCCACACACAGATGTGACCTGGAATCAGGACATGCTGTGAGAAAGACACATCCTCAGAGCCTTGAATCTGTCATCTATAGAATGGGTACACTAACTCTCAGAGTTGGTGCTGGCATTTGCTAAATGTGAAACCACTTGGCACAGTGAAAAACCCCAGGAATAGATTTACATGGTGCTGTTGTCACATCTGGGTCCTACAAAGACTGAACTCACACACTCAGCCCTACTATTTCAACTGTGAAGACACAGAGCCTGAAGCTCAGAGCTGCCAACACAGCAGAGCCAGCCAGCGCCAAAGGCACATCTGGGGATCAGCCCCTCTGGGTTCTGGAAGATACAGGGTGTCGAAATGTGTACAGGAACTGACATCACTTCCTTGGAAAATACCTAAGGAGCCTCTTGGAGTCCTGTGCCCAGGGCCAGGGCTCAGCATCTGTCATCTGGCTGTCCTCGTTTTCCTCGATTGCATCTAATATTGGCCTCAGGAGTCACTTCCAAATGGTTGAGCCGGGACTCCTGAATTCAGGTCTCGTGCTGGGGCCTGGCTGTTGTGGGGGCTCATGCACAGGCAGGGCTCTCCCTGGTGAATGTGCACATCCAGCAAGTGAGATGCTCCTCCCAGGGCGGCTGTGCCGAAGATTCTCCCTCAGTTGACACTCCTCAAGCAGGAGTGGTATTTTCTAAGATGTCTTCCAGGAGATCGGACTACCAGGGCTAATATTCTAATATTCTGGGGCAAATGAGAACAAAGACCTGGGATTCAGGTCTGTGCCTCCAGTCCCCACACTACCTGCCATATCTCCCTCAATTCTACTTTCACCCCATTCCCAAATCAGTGAAGCCAGATCCTAACCTTAGCCCCTCTCCTGTTACCCCTCCCTCTGGGAAGACAGGACTCAACAGTCTGGCTCCATGGAAGGTTCTGGAATCTGCATCAGTTTTTACCATAAACACCACCAGAGTGATAGGAAGTGTGAGTTCTGAAAGGATAAGTAACATAGAGGAGCTACCCAGGGCGTAACACCAGCAGTAGCCTTATCCTCATATCTACCCTGTCAAGTGGGTTCAGTGTTAATCCTGTTCCCCAGATTTAGGAGCTAAACTAACTCTGGAAGAGCCAGTATTTAAATCAATTCATTCTGGCATGCTAGTGGGGCTGTTCCTGGTAGAGATGAGAAGGATGTGTTTGCCACATAAAACACAGGACACCCAGTAAAATTTGAATTTCAGATAAACGAGTCGTATTTTTAATATAAATATGTTCCAGATAGTGCTTGTGGGATACTTCTACTGAGAAGAGTTATTCATTGTGCATCTGATACTCAAGTTGAGTGAGATGTCCTGTGTTAGCATTTGCTGACTCTGGTGGCCTAATCCAGAGTCTAGGTTTTTCATTCCATGACGGAGCCCCACCTCATGGGCTCTCTGCCTGGGCCTTTGCGACATGTGGGCAGAGGATGAAAAGGGTGCTGGGAAGGCAAGTTCCAGATTCTCCCACTTTCTCTCAGAGGGGCTTCTTGGGTTTATTACAACAGAGTGT